TGTTGAATTCATTGGTGATTCGGATGACGAAGAGGAAGCTGAAGAGACCGATGATTCACGCATGGCGATAGCGCTGGAGATTGTTGATGGTCTGGGTGCTGGAGCTGCTCAGCAAGCGTTACTGAAGATAGCGGTGGAGAAGGTGTCGCGCCTTCGTAAAGAGGACTTATGCTCGTCTAAGGCGCTTCCTCTCCTCTGGAAGTGGGTCATTCAATGCGGTGACCAGACGATGCTCGACACGGTCGCATCCAAGTTCAAGCAAACGCCGCCGAGCCTCCTCCAGCCCGTTATCGAGTCGTTCTCGCAGCATCTCGGTACTCTCCCTGCTTCGGACGACAGATTTGTGGCGCTTTCTGCGATTGCTAACAAGAGAATCGAATGGTTGAATATCCAGCTCCAAGCGTTGGGTAAACCGTTCTCTTGGGAGATGCCGGACGCTTCCTTCCCCGACAACGCGAGAATTCAAGCATTTTTACGAGGCCCTGAGAGCTCAATGGATACCAACGGAGTTCGTCACTTCAACGGAGTTGGCCATGCCCGCAACTACGCCGAAACGTGGATGCGTGAGAAGCAGGTGAACGCTTCGTTCACCTTGGAAGCTGAAGGCCGAGGCGGAAGTGCGTATGTGGTCATTACGAAGACTCGAGCGTGGCTGTCTGAGCACCAAAAGGAACTGTTGAAGCACAAGACGGAGCTGGCCCTGCTTTCGGCAAGGTTTGGAGCTGCCGAAGGTGCTGCAAGCGGTGGTGCCAGAAAACGAGCACGACACGAGTAAACACCGTGGACAGTCGACACATCTGCAGGTATTGGAGATCGGCTTTTCCGTACTAGTCCACTGATGCATTTTCACGAGTTATTTGACACATCAAGCGTTTGCTTTAGTTTCGCGATGTTGTTTCCGCGTGTGCCCGCAATTTTCACGCGAGTGCTCTGTTCAGGTAAATTGCAGGTTTTCCGTCAATGGCTGCTTTTTTAGGATAGATACTTTGACGGATGCGGGTTCATCAAGAGTGCCACGAATCCCGATCTAATGCGTCGTTGCGCCTCCGCCGCTTGCTTGTCGCGCAGCAATGGATTGATACTCATGCTCCCCATAGTTTGTTAAGGGAAGCTATTAAATCATACTGTACATGAATCAATTGCAGCCCTATCTTTTACCTGCATTCTACTGCTGAGTGTCCTTGAGCCACTCGAATTCGAGAGTAAAATCAGCACCTACAGTATAAGCCATCCGAATATCCGGTTAGAATATACTACGTAGTTGACGCACTGCCCAACACTCACCGAAGTGGTAGAGCTCGTACTGCAGCAGGAGCAGAAGGGCAACGAAGAGATGCACCTGCACAGGACAAAGCTGCCTCTCGAGTACAAACGCGAGCTGGTACAGCGCAGAGAAGGAAAACCTGGTCTGCGAGAAGACGTTAAAGACGACGAATATGACGACTTCCAGTAGCCCAAACACCACAAGGTTTGAGAAAGCAGAGCCTCCCCATTGCGTATCGCTCTCCGGGTAATATTGAGCATTTGGCAGGTGCACGAGCGTGAACTTGTAAACTGCAAACACGAGCGGAACGACGCAGTCCACGTACTTCACCAACGCCCAGTACTCGCAATGAAACAACAGTTGCAGACCTTGCAGTGTTAGCATCTTTGATCGCTCTGGACGCCTACTTCCCTGTATATCTTTGGGAATAGCTGAAGGTTCGGCGCCTTCTAGAGCTGGGTCAGGCGCAGGGGCAATCGCAATGCGTTGGCTGGCTGGTTGGAGATACCGGTGATGCGGTTGCTGTAGCCTAATCATTGTTGAGGATGTCGATGAGTCTGTCTGTCCGTAAACACCCGACTCTTCTAGCAAGCGGAGTAGGTTTGCTTGCGCTTGCGTTATCGGGTGAGGCAGGCACGACCACTCGTGCACGTTGTAGCGAGTTGGCTTCATAATTCGTCGGGTCCTGGACGACTGCAGTCATCGTCGTGAGAAGCTCACTGTAAGTGTCCAACATGCTAATTCGGCGGCTGCTTTTGGTGCGGAGACGGATTTCAGAGGCGCGTCGGTCTTGCAGTGAGCCCATCAGGAGCTGGGCATTCGCGTGAATTTCTCGAAATTCCAGGAGCGACTGCCCCACGTCAGCCACGATGAACAGACCCGATAGATAGAGCGAACCGGACGTGTACATGCACACAGAGACGAAAAGTGTGCCAAAGAAGTCGACCGAGAAGGCGACGAACTCAGGAATACGAAGAGCGTACCACAAACTTCTTTGCTGCGAACTTCCAAAATGGTAAGACGATGACCACGACGCTCCGATACGACGACGGCACAAAGCTGTAGAGCACTTTGTAGATTGGGTACACACCGATCAACGTCATGTGAGCGAAGAAAAATCGGTTGAATCGGTCGCCCATTACCTTAAACGGTGAGCCATTTGCAAACAATGCGGGTCCCAGCACAATTCGTATCATTAATGGTGTGTAAATTCCAACGGGGACGGCTCCGAATTGCATCATGAAGGGGACCGGAAAGCCAATACAACTCGCTGCGAGAATGCACGTCCCCACATACGCAGCACCTACCAGCAGCGCCACAATGACCCGTTTGGCGAAAGTGAAATTGACACCGGGAACGAATGTGGGTGTTTGCCAGTTTCCACCAACACCGAGGACTATCTCTATCAAGAGTAGCCGCAGCCAGAAGACCCAATTGGCGGCCCATCCTTCCGATGGCGGCCTTAGTGGCAAAGACTCGAGGAATATAGCAACAATCAAAGCTGGTAATGGGGTGCAGAAGCACACCAACACCACTCGAAGTGGAGACGTGGTTTTGCAGTACCATTTCTCCTCGAGGCGCCTCCACGATGAAGTCCGAGCCCGCGCTGTGGTTCGATCCATTTTTCCGCGTGACTTTGATATCGCGTGGGCTTACGTTGCTAAAAGGTAAAATGGGCGGGTAACGAGACTGTGAGGAACACATTTGGATTCCTATCCTTACGTTTCTTAGACCAGGCTAGGGGATAGGCTGGTTAGTCCTATATGGATAACCTTATTTCCAGTAAGGAAACTAACCAGTAGATAGATAGTAAATTATAGTTAGGACCCGAGGACGAGGCCACGAGTCTGAGACAGTAGGCCGAGCTTACTTTCGGTTCGACGGCTGCTTCTCGGAATCCTTGGCCCACTGGTGGTAAACTGACTCGGGCATCTGCAGCACTGCATCGCCAGACACAGCCACGGCGGTTCGCTCTAATTCAATACCCGCCTCACCATGTGGGCATGAACCAAACGCTCTATCGTGAGCAGCCCTACCGTGGGCACGAAATAATCGAGCGAAAAAATTCCCCCTCTGATTGAGTTGCTGTTTGGAAATCATAAGAATAGTGTTTTGAATATCGTTAAAACTGAGCTGTGACAAGGATCAATGCATGTAACAAGGATAAAGAATACTTATACTTACCCCAACCAAATTTGTTTACATGCTAGGAAATAGGATAATGTTGCTCTTTGCTTATTTGTTCTCCCGAAGTTCAACGCTGGTTATGAACCATCAATCACGTCAGTAAAAATTCGACGAAAGCAAACGCTGCCCCGATGGCTTTCAAGCAGGATTTCAAGGATGGTAAATGGCCGTTTGGTGCAAAAGGCAAGCCGGACGACGTTCCAGTTCCCATAGGAGCTGCCTGTGTCAAGATGAGTAAAACTCTCGAGAACGCAGGCGAGTACTCTTTCGGTGGTCGAGCTGAGACTCTCCCACCTGTACCCGGCATTTTTGTCAACGAAATTGGCAGTATTCCACTGCCGCTGGACGAATCACAAGCCCAGAAGTTGATCACAAAATGTGAGAAGTCTCCGTTTGGTCACGGGATGAACACGAAGATGGACGAGAGCGTTCGCAAAAGCTGGCAACTCGCACCAGATCAAGTCGAGATCAAGAACCCACTTTGGCGGACTGGGATTGACGATTTGACTGAGATCATTGCCAGTCGACTAGGGTACAAGGGAGTGCCGCTCCAGTGTGTGCTCCATAAGCTGTTGGTGTATGGAGAAGGCAGGCATTTCGTCAAGCGTCAAGACACGGAGAAGGAGAACGGCATGATCGCCATGCTTGTGGTCCAGCCGCCCAGCGCGCACGAAGGAGGTGACCTGGTCGCGTATCGAAACGGAGAGATCGAGCATCGCCATGATTTGGGGAAGAGCAATGGCTCCGCCCCGTACTTCTGTCACTACGCAGTGCACTATGCGGATGCGGAGCACGCGTTGGAGAACGTGTCGAAGGGGTATCGACTCGCATTGTTCTACTCCATTTCCTTGCCGGTGTCAATGCGGCATCTGAAGCGGGATCCGAGCCAGACAAGTAATGATCTATCTGATTTGATCAACGCTATTGCTGAAGAAGACGGATCGTTTGCGCTGTTGCTATCACACGAATATACAAAGAAGAGCATTGCGGATTTGGGTAGTGGAGCCCTTAAGGGAATTGATCGTGCGAGATTCCGGGAGCTTGAAGAAGCCAACCAAGTTGTGGCTGATGACAAGAAACTTCGGTTTTTCATTGCAAAGCTTGTTGTCAAGGTAGACAACACGCTTGGTGCGGGCGGTTGGCGACTTTACAACTATGAGGAATCTTTGCACTGGTACACTGCAAGCGGAGATGACCTCGGACACTGGAAGCCGCTGAATGAAAAGCTTAATTTTCTCAAACCAACTCTGGAAGGCCTATGGCAACAGTGAAGACGTGTATACGGGTAACGAGGGGCCGATCAAGAGTACCAAATACTCTTGATTCGCAATCATTGCATGGCCAGCCAGTCGTCACTTGGAAACTCTCCTGAATCTCGTGTCCGCAGAGATCGCTGTCGAGGAGCTGCTTTCTCGCAGACCAGTTGATGCTGCAACACTTCGAAGTTTCTTGACGCAGACGGTAGCACTTCCGTACGATTTTCCAGATCGTTTTGTGAGCTTCTGTTGGATGCTCTTGACGTGGACTTGGCTAAACGGTTCTTCAAAGAATGTTGCCTGTACTTCGGAGATTTGGATGGAAACGAATCTATAGTTCCAGTGATGATCAAAGTTGCCAATTGGTTTGCCTGGAGTGACGTTGGCGAAGAACTACTTGACGTGCTAGGTAACGGAACCGACTTGTGCTACGTAACACCCGGGTAGTCCGGGATGGAGCTGCTCCTACAAGTGGCTGATGCGGTGGAAGACGCAGGAGCTCGAAAGAACCTCCTTGAAATGGCTGTTGACACAGATTGGAACTTGGGGAGTATTCAAACGGTTGAGCTGTTTTGGAAACATATTATTCTCCCTGGCGATACTGGTGTCTTCGAGTCGATGGCCGAGAAGATTATGAAGCAACAGCCAAGTGAGTTGAGTCCGTTCGACCAAGTATTCTCGAAGTATGTTGACAATCGTGATCAAACGGGTAAGTTCAACATGCTGGAAGCGATTGCAACTAAGCGAATGGGGTGGCTGAAAGGAGAAATCAAGAAGCTTGACAAGGTTGATAAGACTTTCTCTTGGGAAATGCCATTTGCAGATGAACCCGAGAAGCCAGAAATTGAGGCATTTCTACGAGGACCAGAAGAGTCGATGACTACGGTGGGCAAGAAGAAGTTTACTGATTTCCATGACGCACAGTCATTTGCTACTTTGTACAAGCGTTCTTTCAAACGCGGGGAACCACTTGCGTGTCTTGGAGATCTTTACAAATGGTTTCTCGCCGCCTTTCACAGCTTCCATGGTGAATGATGTCTCATACGTATCGATGTCAGTCAAACGAAGTTGGCTCAATACAGAGAAGAGCTAGCGCAGCTAACGGGCCACTTCAACGGACCACCGAACAAAGTGCGCCATGACTAAAATGCAACGCTGGCGCAGCTTGGGCAAGTTTACGTCTCGCTTCACACACAAGATCAAGATCAGTGATATAATGTGCGTCAAGCACCACAGCCTACATTAAAAAAAAAGCTGTCGCGTGTTGGACTTGTTTTCTTTCCGCATCTTTATATGTTAATGGGAAAATAAAAAGTCCTGAGAAGTAACTTTGACGCATACTACATCAGGATTGGTTAATGGCTCTCTTTACCTTTCCATCACTGGGAGCCATTGTGAATAAAGTGACTAAGCCTCGGTCGTTTTGAGATTCTACCTCCCTTCATTTTATCTTTTCGCCAAAGCAAACTCTTTCGCGCTAAACATGGTGACGCTGTTTTGTGTGGTGGTTGGAGTTGCCGGATACGGGTTCCCTGTGGAAATTGACGGAAGCCTGTTGGTGGGTCAACTAAAACAGAAAATCAAAGCGAATGAAGAGTCAATCGTGATCAAGTGCGCTGCTCATAACATAAAGTTGTTCCTAGCCAAGAGAGGCGGAAAGTGGCTACCCGACGAAGATCGATTCCGGTCCCCATTACTGCCGATCGCGCCCAAAAGCTGATCGCGAAGTGCAAGAAGTCTCCTTTCGGCCACAACTTCGAGACCAAGACGGATGAGTCTGTGCGTCAGAGCTTGCAGCTCGAGCCTACACAAGTGGAGTTCGAGAACATGGCGTGGCAAAGCGGTATGAATAAACTGTGCAAGATGCCTCACTATATGCTGATGCAAAGCATGCGTTGGAGAAGGTGACAAAAGGGTACCGTCTCGCTTTGGTATACTCTATCTATTTGCCTCCAGCAATGCGTCACCTTGAGAAAGCTCACGATGAGCCGCTTAGTGAAGATTTGGCTAGAGTCATTGGCAACATGGAGGACAACGAAGAACCCTTTGCTCTGTTATTGGTTCACGAGTATACGGCGAAAAGTATGGTGAATCTGGGCACGGGGGCATTGAAAGGTGTCGACAGCGCGAGAGTCCACGCTCTGGAAGAAGTGAATGCGCTCATGTCGGTGGGAAAACAGCTTCAGATGTTCATTGCACGCTTGGAACACAAAATCGAATACGAGGAGTCTCATTTCACCCTGATAAGCGCAAGGAATCAATTTCTTGGTACACCACACGCGGTGAGAGTCTTGGTGGAGTTAGGAGGTCGGCAACTTTCAACTTTCTGAACCCTGGGCAAGAAACTCTGTCTCAAATGTGGATACCCCATGGCGTGCAGAAGGAAGACGGGTACATGGGCAATGAAGGACCGACCAAAAACACCAAGTACGCTAGATACGCGATCGTTGCGTGGCCTTCCGCAAACCACGCCAAGCAGGCATTAAAGATTATGCCTTTCGATGTTGCCATTGATGAATTTTACGCTAGAAAACCTGTGGATGCTGCCGCACTGCGCGAGTTTATGAAGGATATTGGCGCAAGGACCAAAGTGGAGGGCAAGCACTCCTCACCTGACGTTCTCTCCGTCAAGTTTTGTCAACTCTTCTGCGAGGTGGCCGTGGAGGCCGGTGATGCAGTGATTGTGAAAGATTTCTTCACGAATGCGGACTACTACATTAACAAGCCATTGCCATAAAACAGGACGCCTATGGCGTGTTGTTGGGTGCTTGACAAGCGCAAAGACAATGTGTCTCTTATCCCAGTCATCACGCAGATTGTCCGTACGTTTGACTGGGGTGATTTCGGGGAGGCGTTGTTGGATTGTTTGGGCCGAGGCACGTATGGACCTATAGAGGAAGACACGGGATACTCCGCTATGGAAATGGCGCTGCTAATTCTCGACGGACTCGACAGTGGGGCTGCGCACAGTGCTCTGCTCAAACTTGCTATGAAGGAGTCGGCGAAATTTACAACCGAGGAATTGTGCTCATCGAAGGTTGTCGGATTCATACTGAAGTGGGTGGTTCGCAGTGATTCTGACCCCACGGTTGACAGAGTGGCAGACAAATTCAAGCAACTCGACGCGAGTCTCCTAAGCGCAGCACTTTTTGAGAAGTCTCTGGAATGTCTTAGTGCTGTTGAAATAACTGAAGATAAGACCGGCTTGCTCGGTATGCTCGTCTCGAAGCGTATCGAGTGGCTCAAGAACCAGATCGCTGAGCTCGACAAGTCATTTTCTTGGCAGATGCCGAACGCGCAGTTCCCGGATAACGCAAAGGTGGAAGAGTTCCTAAGAGGTCCCGCCACGACGTTCACGATAACGAAGGGAGTGCACAGATTTAAAGGGTTCCAAGACGCCAGTAACTGTGCCGCTAAATGGACCCGTGAAGCACAAACCCACGCTTCATTCAAGATGAAGGCAAGTGCCGTATACGCTGATGCAGTGGTGACAATTACGAAGACGCGCAAGTGGTTTGATGAATGTCAGCGAACATTTGAGAAGTATAAAGTGGAGCTGGCTCAGCTGCTGGAACGTACGGGAGGAGAAATCGACTGCAGCGACAATAAGAGGGCGCGAATTGAGTGAAATGGACGAGGTGGAACAAAATGCTACCCGTGGTGAAGCGTGATACGATAGGAGTTTGAAGGTTTAGCTCTTTGAACCTTGGTAATACGAAGTATGTTTCCGCGATCAGAATTCATCCTCAACATCATTACACTGATTTACGCGACTAACGTTAGAAGTCATGTGCAAAATATTTAACTCTAATTTTGAATCGGACTAAATCTAAAACTTTAGTTTTATTTGAAACCCCCTTTCCAAATTGCGGGGACACAGAGCAACTTACCGTCACGTTGCCGCTGAACGAAGAGCAGGCGACCAAGTTAATAGCCCAATGCGAGCAGGAATCCAAGCATCAAACCCGTGGGAAGGTCTGGGTACTGGACGGAAATCACGTGAAATTAGACGATTCCCAGTGGTGGCAGAGTCTGGAAAAGCTGACTGAAGTTGTTACGGATAAGCTGGGGCTGGGGCGACTCTGTGAGGATCACGGTGAAGTACTGGACGAGCCGAGCCACAAACCGGTTTTGTATGGGCAGGAAGGCGTCGTATTACAGACTGGCGGAGACGAGAGTAGTGAGAAGGCCCCGGAAGCGGTGCTGATAGTGGGGTTTTCGTCGTCTTATGGAGGAGTTCTTGTAGTGGAAGAGGCTGGTGGCGCTACAACAAGACGCGAACTAACTCCAAAGGGATCCGACGGGCAGAACTTCGTTGTTGTTTCTTCTGGTGCAAGGGGGGCTCAAAGTGGCGTTCACGCTGCGCTGATATTTTCTTTCCACTTGGAAAAATCGTTGGCGTATCTGTCGTTATACGCCCGTGACCAGGAAATCCGCGATATACTTGCCCCACCATTGAAGAGCAATTCTGCCGAGACTTATCCGCCTGTGCTGTTGCTGAAGAACAACTACGACAACGATGTCTTGGCAAAATCGGGGACGGCAGCTCTGACTGGTGTCGATCTTTCCAGACTGCAGACCATTGAAAAGTTGAACGCCGTCTTGGCGCCGAACAATCAGTTGCAGTTCTTCGCAGTCAAACTTGATCACGAGATGGAATCCGTTTGGACTGGTTGTTCAGAATATGACGATGGCTTGGACAAGGACCACAAGGACTCCATAGCATGGCACACTCTCGGTTCGAAAGACCAGACTCTCAGCAGAGACCCTTACACTTACGCGGACCTCCACCTTGAGTACCTCAAGCCAGACGATAAACCACTCCGTGACATGTGGCTGAAGGCAGAGCCTGTAAGCCACGTGACGATGCCATCCGATGAAGACAGCCAAAGATACGCGGACCGAATGAGGAGTCGAATTTACGAGGAATACGACGATCCACCCTTGCCAACCAAACATGAAAAATACTTCCGGCAGGGAATCCTGATTCTCCCTTGTGAGAGAGCGATGGAGATTATCCGGAAATTCAGTGGAGATAAGGCAGCGGCAGCCTATCTGCAGCAATATTCCCCGCGCGATTCGGCAGCGCTGCGGTCTCTCCTCACGAATGGAGACTATCACACGAAAGAATGGAATGACGCAGTGTGTCAGTCACTGGTGGAAATCCAGGATACTGCTCTTGTTGATCTTTTCTTTAGAGAAGTGGCGAACATTTTCTGCACGGCCATGCGCGTCAATATCAGCTCGGCCGTTCTCACCCTAGTGCGAGGTTTCGGGTGGGAAGCAATTCAAGCTCCGTTCCTGTCGAGCTATGCATGTGGGAAATGTACGAACCAGTGCAGTGACAGCACAGTGTTTGGCCGCCTTGTCAGCCTGTTAAAGCGCGCGGGCCCAGATTCGTACGGCTCAATGATCCAGCGCCTTGAAAAGTACGCCGCTGACGTGGGCTTCTCATCAAGAGAGCAGGAGGCTTTCTCTGACCTAGTGGCTGCAAGGGTTCAGTATCTGAAGGCTGCAGTCACGAACCGCGGCAAACCAGGAGTATGGAGCATACCTCAAGCTTGTGTTCCCGGTGAGCCAGAAGTGGAGGAATTCCTCCGAGGACCCGAACGATCTAAGGCTTTCACCTGCTTTCCTGATAAAAAGGCTGCACGCGCCTTCATGTCCAAATTCACTGACGATAATTGTGCCTCGATGTTTAGCATGGACTGTCGTGCAGACAATAGATGCAAAGTCTGCACAGACTGTGACGCTGACGAAATTCTCACACAAGCACGCGCCAGGAGAGGGTTACCACTTTGATCTCGACGAAAAGCTGATCCAGCTGATGGAAAAATACTACCCCGATGAAGACCGCAGTTGGGTCCGCGAGACCTGGGAGAGGCTAGCTCCAAAGTCACCTAAGAGAACGCAGTGGGGAGGTGGGCCTTCTCGATCTCAGAAAGGCAAACGCCGCAAGAACTGCCGGTGGTAGTTCGATGGCGAGACATTGATCAGTTGAACTTCTGCCCTCGTGTTCGAACAATGGCGTAGAACATCGAACAGCTGTGAAGTAGCACTACCAGAACAAACATGAAAAAAAATCAAGAATGAAATAGCGGACAGAAAACCTTCCCATGCTACCTTGTTCTCTCCCAGCAGGCTTGTTGATTTAGCCCGCGCCGTCGGATTCGTTCAACCAAGCTACCTAGTTGCCGATCATGCCACGTGCCTGTTTGCTCTTGAGGGTTTGCACTTGCGAGCGGTGTTCGAGCCGCAGCTTCGACAATTCGTTCAGAATACCAGGCATTGCGGTGGGGTCAGTGATCCGGCAATCCGCGTAGCGCTGTTGCAATGTCCGGATCTCACGAAATTGCTGCTGCATGACGCGGTGGAGCTGGAACGAGTGCTCCATCTTGATCGTCTCAACGAATTTGGACCCACGCGTACCAACATCAAAGTCCGCTCTTCTCGACACTGCCAGAAAAATTCAGCTGCGCCTTATGCTGCTGTAACAACTTTTCACGAGACGAAAGCCACCCTTTCGCCTTGGTAATCACCACGAATGCGGTTCCATACTCCTCTTCGGCTTCCATCACGTACCAATCATCCTCTTGATTCGCGCGCATCCATTTAGCAGCGTAGTTTTGAGCGTCTTGTAGATTCCTGAAAGTGCTCACCCCGTTGGTAGTCATCGACATGTCGGTGCCTCTCAAAAATGTCTGAACCTGGGCGTCTTTCAGGAAATTCTCTATCGGGCATTTCCCACGAAAATGGCTTCTCAAGTTGTTGGATTTGGCTCTTCAGCCACGCACTCCTCTTGTCGGCGATATCTTTCAGCGCGGCAAACTTGTCGCCTAAACGGTCAATACCAGCCAAACACTGTGTGAAAGCTTGAGTTGCTGGGCGCAACGTGCTTGAATCTGCATTTTTCACCTTGTCCACCAACGTGTGAAACGCACCGCCGTCGTCGGAATACATGGCCCACTTCCATAATATATTGTGATACTCCAGCGAGTAGGATACCGTATCACTCAGTTTGATAAACTTTTCCAGACCAAGCTGCATCAGTGCGTTTTGACCCGCAGTACCGCTTTTTATCCCATCAGCTACCCCTAGCGAGATCTCCATAGTCTTCGTACCAAGTTGGCCGAGCGATTCCAGACACACTTGTCCAACTTCGCTCCAGTTGAACGATTGCAGCACCTTCACTAGGCTAGGAACAGCGGCATTCTCGCTTTCCATCTTGTTAAAATACTTGCTGAAGAATGTCTTCACGAGTTGCGCGTCACAAACATCCACCAGCAATTCGCATAGAATACGGCAAAAATCGGTCGATAGAAGCTTGGATCTGCTCGCCTCTCTCTCGAGTTCCAGCTGAATCGTCTCCATGAACTGACCAAGTGCAGCAGCGGTAACAGGCTTTTGGCTCTCCAACGCTCTAACCGCAGCTTCAGGGCCAATGTACTTTAACGAATTCTTTACGCCATGAGCAGCAGGCCAGGCAATTATCGCATGTCGGGAGTAAGTATTCATACTCGGGCCTTCGTTCCTCTTGGCTGCTACCGTGCGGCCACCACAATTCGTAATATGTTTCGAAACGCGGATTGGGGAAGTTCATCTCCATCGTCGACTCCTTGACTACAAACGGCTGCCCAGACGTGGAAAACCAAGTGGTGGTATTCTTGCTGTTGTACCCGCCATCCCGTAGTACTCGTTCTCGAAAGTTACCTGTGCGATGTAAAACAGCAGCTCCTTGTCAGCAGGCACAGCAGCGTTTGCATCCTGCAGAGCCATGACTCTCGCGCAATCGATGCCCTTTAGATCTCCCGAGCCTAGTTTCCCAACGCTCTTCTCCGTGTACTCGTGCGCCAACAGCAGCGCGAACGATTCCTCGTCAGGTCCCATCGTGCGGATCGCATTGGCGAGCCTTTCGCTCATCAGCTTATCGCGATCTCTCTCGAGGTGACGCATTGCAAGACGAAAGCGCTTCGTCACCTTCTCCAGCGCATGCTCCGCGTCCGCGTAGTGCACAGCATAGTGTGGTAAATACGCCGCCGTACCGTCCTTCTTACCGAAATCATGTCGGTGCTTCACTTCTCAAATCACCACCTTCGTGCGTACTTGGCAGTTGAATCACTAGCGTTGTTATCCACCGTCCTCCTTTTCGGTGTCCTTTCCCGTACACCAACATCTTGTACATCGAGACGGACTTGTAGCCCAGTTGTTCAGCGATAGTGTGTGTCAGTTTGTCCATTCCTATCTGCCACAAAGGGTTCTTGAACTGCAACTGGTACGGCTGGAGCTGCCAGATCTTGAGAACGTTATCGTCCATCTTGGTATCGAAGTTGTGCCCATAGTGGGATTTCTTGCACTGTTCGATCAGCTTCGTAGCATAATACTCCGTCAGCGGTACCAGAATTTGCCCACAAACAGCCCTGGTACTACTGGCAGAGTTTCAGCTACCCCACAAAAGGTGAATTCCCCTGCCGACTGGAACAGGGACGTCGGTTGATTTCCCCTTTACACCAAAAGGCAATATACCCTTCAAAGGCCCAAGCTTCTCGTCTTCATCGCAGCTGTTCATCGCACCGTTTTCCTCGCTGGCGCTGTTCTTGAGTGGAGCCATTGATGTCCAACGTTGGGTCAATAACCATCGCTCGCCAAATCTTCAACTTTAACAAAAAATCTGGGTTGGCCCCCATCAATCAATCTTGTAAATTCCAGTCAATCTGAGCACTTTAATCAATCTCGTCGTCTCATTTTCAAATTATCTCGCAAACGCATGTAACGGGGTTACATGGAATAGTGACCCTGTCACTATTCCGGGATGGCTACATCGGTCACTCCCCTGGATAGTGACCCAAGTGGCCTCAGAGCCAACAGATACATTTTGTATGACACAAACTATAGGGAACTTAGGATTTGTACGCAGGCCAAATCTGTACCAACCTATAAATACATTCAGTCTTAGATCTACCGCTTTTCAAGTCAAGTCGTCCCCTACAGACCAGGGACACGTGAACGGCTGTTCACTTGGAGTTTGTATACTCCTGCTTCCTCTGTTAAGAAGTGCTGTGTGCCCCGTCACACTTGGTAGCACTTGTAGTCAATCCTACGCCTACGCGGGTAGATTGGACTACCTGAATCCTCTGTGGTCTCATCGAGTGAGCCAAGATGGATCGTACGGAGTTTCCCCATCTGAACGACTCGCAGTACGAGTCCGTTCGTAAGATGGCAGGCATCTTTGGGACAGATGCCCTGCGTAGCTTAGCGGCGGCGACGCCGGCTGAGCAGGTTGAGCGTATCAACGCGTTCGACACCTACGAGCGAGGGCTCATCGCCCACGTTCAAGGGCTGCAGGCCACTGCGGCCGCGCCGAAGCCGGTGCAACCGAAGCCCCTGCGGCTGAAGGTTCACCCTTTCGAAGGGAAGGAAGGAGAAAACCTTCACTTCTGGGATCGAGAGGTTGAGCTCGCGATGGACGCGGCTCTCGTCTCGGACGAGCGACTCCGTGTCGCCTTTGCGCTCTCCAACCTTAGTGGTCGCGCTAAGAGTTGGGCGTATTCGCGCGAAGCGACGACGCCTGGATGCTTCGCATCATGGTCCCAGCTGTGCGAGCAGCTGCGGTCCGCGTTTCTTCCGGCGAACTACGAGTACCGCCAGCGTTCGCGCTTTCTCGCCTGCAAACAAGGAAGGCGCGAGCTGTATGAGTACATCCAGGAGATGCGAGTGCTCACAGCCTCTTTGGTGGGGAACCCCCTGCCTGAACACATCAAAGTGACCGTGTTCATGGACGGTCTGCGTGTCGGTCCTGCCCACACGCAACCGTTCCGTGTGCAAGCAAACACTATGGAGGAGGCAATTCAGATCGCCCTCCAGGAGGAGTACAGTCACAAGCAGGCTCGTACCCCCGCCACGGTATGGCAGAGCAACCCTGCCACTGGCGGTGCGCCTAATGATAACTCCGGCAATAGAGCGATCAACGGGCCGGTTCCCATGGATCTGGGCATGGCCGAGCAGAGCGACATTCGCTGCTACGGCTGTGGCAAGCTTGTGCACATGAAACGTGCTTGTCCCGCGGGAGGACTGAAGAAGAAGTTCTCTTCGAAACCCTTTGGCTCTAGGGGTCGCTGGCAGAAGCCGCGCCCCAGGAACCAGGGGCACGCCGGACATCAGTAGGGGCGGGGCGCCCTACTGGTGAAACACTAAGTCTTCATGAGGGGCGTGCGGGTGGCGCACGCCATGGGGACTTAGCCCCTGAGGGTCTCTGTACTCTCGAAGCGGAGAAGGGCAGCGGTGGACGGCTTGTGGTGCACGCGAGTGTACCGGGATACGATCATCCCTTGAGAATCTTGATCGACTCTGGGGCGTCCAAGAACTTTGCGCGCCGCCAGACTGTCGCACGCAATCGCGTCAAGTACGCCGATGCGCTACGAGGCAGCAAATACAACGGACTGGTCTCGGTAAGACTGGCCGACGGTACGGTGGTACGGTGGTAGAAGTACCTCGGGTCCACATGGACCTCACTGTCAAGTTCGAGGACTTCGACAGCACGGAGCCGTTCTTGGTCCTAGACATGGACAAGTACGACTTGATCCTTGGCATGCCGTGGCTGGAGAAACACGAGCCTTGGATCGACTGGCGCGGCAAGGCCATCGGGTCCAGCCATCCCCCACGCTCTGACAGAGCTTTGGTGAGTCATGTTCCCACCTCTGGTAGCAGCTGGGGCGCCCGCGAGGGCCGCCAGGGCGCAGCAGCGTCTAATGAGTTCTTGGGGTCCGTCGAGACTGACGACGACTCCGACTGGGCCGGACAAGGCCTGAGAGTGGAGGTGCCGGACAGCACCTACCAGGTGGGTAACGTAGGTCTACACGCGGGTAACGAAGTACCGCAGGCAGCAAGGGCTGCTGGAGAAGGCGCCGCTGGCGTTGGCGTAGGTAACCATGTTCCACGCGAGGTCACTCAGACCGTAACTGATGAGGAAGGCACTGCAGGCGCTTCCGATGTGGGTAACATAGTTCCACAGGAGGTCACTCAGACCATAACTGATGCGGGAGTCGCTGGAAGCGCTCCTGGTGTGGGTAACCAAGTTCCACACGGCGAGGTGGGTAACCTAGTTCCACCCAGCAAGGCGGGTAACCAAGTTCCGCTCAAGAACAAGGCAGGTAACCAAGTTCCGCTCAAGGACAAGGCGGGTAACGTAGTTCCGCGCGAGATCGAGAAGATCGGTGGTGCCGTCAAGGCGGCGCCACGAGACGAAGACACCCGAGGGTCACGTCGTAAGCCGGGCCTAGTCGTGTGGCCGACGACGCCAGTCGCCAGCGACTCCGAGCCTCCAGCCAAGGCTCCAGCCGCCGAAGAGTGTTATCACATCTTCGACGGCGTGACCGGTCGTCGGGTCAAGACAGGAGCTGTCGAGCTTACAGCTCTGCCCGAGGTTTCAGAGTTGCTGAACCTTGAGGAGCTCGCCATGGAGGACTTCTTGGCCGAGCTAAAGGCCGGGGAGATCGCAGAGTTGGTTCTCCTCCGACCGGAGTCCACGTCGGCCGAGTTGAACTCGTCCTCGGTCATGGACCAGGCAGTCCTGGAGGAGTTCCAGAGACAGCGCGCGTCGCGCATGGGCTCTGAGATTCTTAAGAACCCCCGGGGCCCGGTGTACCCCTTGGCGAAGGGGTTCGAGGACGTGGTGTCCAAGGATCCACCGTCCAATCTCCCTCCGGACAGGGGAATCAGGCACGAGATCGATCTCGTGCCGGGCACGAAGTACTGTGTCACGAGGCAATGGCCTCTTCCCCGGGAGCAGTGTGAAGTCACTGATGCTTTCTTTGCCGCCAAGGCGAAGGCAGGCATGGTGCGGGAGTCGAAATCCCCGCACTCGACGCGTACCTTCTGTGTTCGCAAACCGAACGGAAAGTGGCGTCTGGTTCATGCTTATAACAAGCTGAACAGCGCGACAGTGCCTGCGCAGACACCGATCCCGCGCAAAAACGTGTTGCTCAACAACATGGCCGGCTGCACGCTATATAGCGCGCTGGACCTGGTGGACGGATACTACCAGATCCTGATGCGCGAGAGCGACATCCCACTCACGGTTGTGAGCACGCCGAGCGGTATGCTCTGGGAGTGGCCGGTCATGCCTCAGGGGCTTTCTAACGCCCCGGCAACGTTCAATCGGTTGGTCACACAACTGTTCCGACCTTTGCGTGCGTTCACACAGACGTACTTTGACGACATCTTCGTCCACAGCCATGCCGAGGCAGGCCAGACGGCCCTGGAGGTGCATCTCCAGCACCTTCGACGTGTGTTCGAAGTCATGCGGGCAAACAAGCTGTACGCCAACATCGACAAGCGTGTGTTCGCAGCTGAGGAGATCAATGTCCTGGGCTGCTTCATCGGCAGCGCCGGGGTCCGGGCGGACCCGGAGAAGGTGAAAACCATCGCGGCTTGGCCGCCACCTCGGTCGCAGAAGGACCTACGACAGTGGTTGGGCCTCGCCAACTACCTGCACAAGTATAGTGCAGGCTACGCCGAGCTGGCACGGCCCTTGTCGGATCTCCTGAAGAAGGATGTCGACTGGCGCTGGGAGCGTCGACATCAAGATGCTTTTAACGACATCAAAACGAGCTTACAGCGCGCGCCAGTCCTGGCATTGCCGGACGAGACGAAGCCTTTCAGCGTAGTCTGTGATGCGTCTGACTACGCAATTGGCTGTGCACTATTGCAGGCCGACGATGAAGGCCGCGAACGGGTCATCTCGTTCCAGTCCAGGCAGCTCAAGGCAGCCGAACGGAACTATCCAGTCCACGACAAGGAGCTACTTGCCATGAAGTACGCTCTTGTCAAGTTCCGAGTGCACCTCCTGGGCTCGACGCCCTTTGTCGTTTATACAGACCACGCGTCCTTGCGGACTGCCGTCAACACGCCGCATCTCTCACAGCGGATGGCGCGTTGGCTGACATTCTTCGCGGAATACAACTTCCGTGTCGAGTACAAGCCGGGCAAGTTGAACGTGCTTGCCGACGCGCTGTCGCGCCGACCCGACTACGAGCTTGCTCATATTAGTCGGGTCACGACGGATCTGTGTGATCGCATCAGGCTGGGGTACCGAGACGATGCCAGTCTCGGACCTCTTGTGCGGTTCTTGGCCGCTGGTTCGGAAGCCAAGGCCGAGTGGCTCACGCCCTGACAACGTGCATGGCTGCATCGCTATGAGTGGGCTGACGGTTTGCTCCACTATAGGGTCGAGCCTGAGGATCCTCCCCGTATTTTCGTGCCCAACGACGAGGATCTCAAGTACGACATCCTGATGGAGGCGCACGACGCTCCATCCAG